TTTAGATATTGAACATTATGTAGGAGCTAAGATTAATGATTTTTTTTAAAAAAATTTTTTGATGAACCATTGGTCCCCACCTGAAAATTATAATTTTCCTTACTCTACCCATCGAAAGCAAGGAAAAGAAGAAAAGATATATGCTGGACATCAATATCTAAGAAAATTTGATCGTCTCCTTTTTTCCGGCGTAAAAAAAGGTTTTTTTTTTGCAAATTTTGCTTTTTGTTTTAGAATGATACAAATACTCCTGTATGTAAACTAGTTACTGATCCTTTAGTTACATTCGCAAAGCTTCTAGGAAAAGATGGCAATCTTGTACGGTGGAAGTTTTTTCTAATATTTTTGAGGAAGCAAAGAACATCGCAGAGGAAATAGACGCTGAAATTAAAGTGCCCCGTTTAGCCAATGTCCAGAAAAACCGGTCAAATTACCCATGTGATTCCGCAGAGGATTATTATAGAAAAGCTATTTTCATACCTTTTTTGGATAATGTGATCGAGGACTTGAAGTTTCGTTTCCCCGAAGAAACATTAAATTTGTTTGATTTGTTCGTTTTGTTTCCGACAAATGGCGACGAATCTGAGTGTGAAGAAGCTTTGAAGCGCCTGTCCAATAAATATGCTTATTTATTTAATAAATCGACAGACATTTTAAAAAAAATGCTCTCGTCGGAGCTAGAATTTTATAGGTTGCACTGCGAGAATAAAAAAATCACTTCTTGCAGTGCACTAAAATTATTAGATCATTGTGATGACGAAGTTTTTCCTATTGTTACAACGTTATTAAAAATTTTGGCAACACTTCCAATAAGCTCTTGTAGTACGGAAAGAAGTTTTTCATCTTTAAGGAGAATAAAAGATTGGTTACGATCAACCATGAGCGAAGATCGATTGGATGGTTTAGCTCTCATAAATATTCATTGGAATGTAAAAATAAATGTAGAAAAAGTTATCGATCGATTTGCGAAAAATAGAAATCATAGGATCGATTTTGTTCTATAATTTTATGTTTCCTCGGTTTAATTTATATAATAAATGTTAAATAATAAATAATTGACAAATGTTTTTGTTTTATAATTTACAAATAATAAAATTTATATATTTTAATAAATGTTCAAAATCATTTCTTCCCTTGCCGTCCTTAGGNGGGGGGGGGGGGGGGGGCGATCGCCCCGATCGCCCCCGCTGGATCCGCCCCTGCAATCTATAAGCATTTAGCCACCAGAAAAGATTATAAAAAATTCACAGAAATGAACAAGAATAATGAGAAAGTAAAATTATTTAAAATTTTTTTCATATAATATTCTGTATTTAAAATTTATATTGAATTATTAACTTGTCAAATTTTACAGGTAAAAATGATACACTTGAAATGTGGTATCAATGTAACATTTGAATGTTTCAATAAAGCAAAGAGTTCGAAAACTCCCAGTGTCTTGGTTCGACACCTTAGTCGTGGAATTTGGGGTGCTTTTGCTTTACAAAACCGAGCAATTGATTTGCCAAAATGTCCGCAGTTAGAAAATAGGTCTCCTCGAAAATCATTAACCCCACGAAAAAAGGCTGTTTTACAAAGTAGGTTAATTTTCATGTTATTTTATTTTCATTTATCATTTTTTCACTTTGGTATGTGAAAATTTTCTTTTCTTTTATTACAGGTGTTTATTTAGATTTTCTTCCCAAAGGATTCAAAGGGATGTACGCAGAAGAAAAAAATAGGTGCATGCATTACTTGAGTAAATTTATAAATTTTTTAAATACAAGTTATCAAAATGATTCTGAAAATGAAGATGAAGAAAGGCAAGATATTGATGATATTAGTAGCACAGAAGATGAAGCTACAGAGGAAAATGTTTAATTATTATATTATATCTGTAAACGTTCAATTAAATGTATCTTTTCATAAATTATTTTATAGTAATTTCTTACAAATGTTACATGTCATACATATGTAATGTGTAAAAATCTTCATGTAAAAGTATATTGATAAATTTTAAGAATTAAAAATAAATTTATGGAACGCGTCATTTGCATCTCCTATTCAGTGTTCATCCTATAATCCTAATCTGTCAAAAATCGAATTCAATAGTAGCAGTATGTAAATTGAATACGAAATTACGATATATTCCTTCGATACGTATTTTAGGTTGTTCGAAATCGATACTACGTATCTTTTTTACGTATTTTCGATACATACTTTCGATATGTATCGAAAATACGTATCTATTTTCAATAGGGCAGCTCTTGGCCGCATAACAGGGTTACAGTTGAAACATTTCTCTATTTCTTTTTTCAATACAACTGGCACATCAGTGCAATCGGGTATTGATTGTTTTTTAAAAAATAGAGTCTAAAGTTGTGAAAGCGTTTACTCGCCACACATGTTTGTTACTGAACATTTCCACCAGTGTACAGGCCAATGACCACATGTCACCATACTCTGTTACTTCTTGTTGACGTAGGTAGACTTCTGGAGCCATGTACATGGGTGTGCCAACGAAGGATTTACGACCATGTGTGGTCAAAAGTTGAGTGTTTAATTTAATTGATTTATTGTGGAAACTCCTAAGTCACATATCTTGACAATTTTTTTCTTTGAGATCATTATAATTGCTGGTTTAACCCATTAACGACCAAAATGCTCGATTTTTTTGTTAGTTTTTGCTGCGATTTTTTTTGTAGTTTGAGGCCTCCAAAAAGTTTCGTATGGACCTATTTCGATGTAAAATTTAATGTCCTTTCAGAAACTGAGCTCCAAATTTCGATTCTTCGCGTAATAAAAAAGCTATGGCTACTTATACGAAAAAAAACGTAAAATTTTTTGCAAAAAATCAAGTTTTTGATTTTTTTTGCCATGTTACCGTTAGGGAATCACGATATAAATATGATCAAGGGTGATCACGACTATCAAGGTATCTCAGAGAATTTTTATGGAATTTTCGAACTCCTTTTCAAACTTTGGTTTTTTGCACTTTTTCTCTAAATTCAATAGATTTCGAGTAAAAATGAGTTATGTTTTATATGAATATAAGTTATTTTTTATTTGACTTAAACGCTTCAATTAATAAAGCTACCGGTGCGAAATGTTTTACGAATTGTTAGCGGCAACGTACACGCAGGCCAGGCACAGTCGCGCACGGCCCTGCATGTGCCCGAGAGAAGGGGTAAGCGGCCCGCGGAATCTCTCGCGCGGCGAGCCTCAGCAGTTCGATCGAGTGACGACACGGAGACGCATTCCGGAGTCGTGCTCCAAATAAACACTCATTACTAATTAATTCTTTGACTCGGCTTTGCTTTCGCCTTCCCGCCTCCACCATCCTCGACACACGCGCGGGCCATCGCCGGGACTCGGACGCCACGGAGCATCCCGGGAGCGCGCTAATAGGATATATACCGAGATTCGAAGAAGGTCTATCATGAGTCTTGACATATGCGGCAGAAACTTATCGATTACCTGTAAATGTAAGAAACGAAGCGATTGAACACATTGAAAAAGAGCAAGTAAATGCTAAAGCTAGATACGATAAAGCTCGCTGTACTAATATTAAGTATGATGTCGGCGACATAGTTTTTATGAAACAGAATAAAATTGCGACCGGCGATTCGACGAAGTTGCAATCGAGATACAAAGGTCCTCTTGTGATCACCGAAGCTTTACCTGCCGACACATACAGAGTACAAAACTTAAATGCGAAAAATAATATTAAAGCTACTACTAGCCACGTGAGTCAGTTAAAGCTTTGGCGAAATCAACCCGACGATGATGATGATTGTAATGATTGTAGCGATACCGAAAGCGAAGATTCTGTCGAATCAAAGTCACTCAATCAATGTTCAAAAAGGGCACTCAATCAAAGGGCAAAAAATTTTACGTTTGAATAGGCCTTTATGTTTTTTTTCCAATATCATTTTTGGGGGCGCTACAGTTAGAAAATGAAGTTCTTCTGAACTTAATTTTAGGTTAAATCGGGGTTTTCTTTGAGCCTGTAGCGCCCTTAAAATGGTCTTAAAAAAAAAAAACATACATTTTGACGTGAAATTTTTCGCTCTTTTCAAATCTGCAATAAAAAATGGGGGTTACATTTGAAAAATCGATTTTTGAGACGCTGCAGCTTTGAGGTTATGTTCAAGGTTAAATCCGAGGTCACGATTGGATTCCCCGTGAAAAAATACGTCGGATATAGGGTTATCGATTTTTTTTCCCCGCTTATTTTGGCCGCTTTTCAGAGGTTTCCATACTTTTGGGACACCCTGTATATAATGTTATTATACAGATAGAAATGTGCTCTTGCGCTCGTCGACTGGTTCCACATGTGTGTGTGTGTGTGTGTGTATACACGCGCGATGCAAGCGTTATCTCTTCTTTTATTTTTGTAGAAAGTTTGCTTCCCTTGCCGCGTGCACATGCATTCGCAGCACGTATATATATTAGATTTTTCGATCGACTAATTACTCCGCCGCGCGTTCGCACAGCAATGTAGTGCCGAGTGCGCGACGCTCTCGGCATTATAATCAATGAAACATCGATGAGATGGCGAGTCGATCCATATATCCATACGTATAAAAATAAAAATAATTGCACTTGCTCATCGTCTCGATGCATGTGCGTATTTATGCGTATTTTGGCGCGCGAGCAAGCACGTGTGACGACACACACGCATTTGTAATAACCCACTAGCATTAACACTCATCAGCAGTCAGCTTCATCGTGTGCGTTCGATTCTTTTAAAGTCGCGTTCGCGCCTTGTATATGGCCTTTGGGAGGACGTGACTTTGACCTAGATCGCGAGAGCAAGACCTATATCGTTGCGGCACATGTACAATGTTCTCTCGCGTGCGGTGCAATTCATCTTGTTGCTTCTGCTGCCACCGCCGACTAAATAATACATATATTTCGCTGCAATTGTTCTGAGCAGATTTGCTCACTTGTACTAATCCAGGGGGGCCGAATAATCCATTCATATAATCGCTCGGCGTAACCCTCGCTTAGCTTAAGATGATCGGTTACGCATTTATTTGGAGGTAAATTGAATGACTACACGAGAGCTAGGTGGCTTAGATTTTAATTATTATTTTTTGTCTCGAATAGCAAAAATATGATTTTCTTTTCTAACATCATCTTTTTGATTGAAAAATAACACAATGATATACATCTACATCTTTTTTCTATAGTTGCGATGAACATGTATCGATAATGCACACTAAAAATATACACCAAAATATTTTTAGTGTATATTTTTAATATATACATATGTATAATGTATTACCTTTTGTACCTATGATAAAAGAACCAAATGTCATCCTATTGTTGAATGTAATCCTTTGTACTTGGTGTTTACTTTAGTGCCAAAGATTCGACTTGAATTTTTATTGTTTGTACAGACACATCGATTATATTTACACATTTTTAAGCTTTGCAAAAATATCCCTGCCGGCGTGAGCTGGTGTACTTCTAGGAATGACACATTATCCAAAAATAAAATCTACTCGTGCAGCAAGCTCTAAGCCATTTAAGGAGAATAGAAAATTACTTTTTTTTACGCATACGTTTTCCAGTGTCTTCGTTTTACAAGGTGATTCGATAAATACGATAAATTTAACAATGATGGTAATTAATTCTTTATAATTTCGACGCAACAGTTCATATTATCCGATAAATATGTATTGCAACATGATTGTATAAGTGACATATATCGTAATATTTATAACAATAAACATATAATAGAGTGATTTTTTATGACGGTTTAGCGATAGCTTCTCATCTGTTTAAAACAGAATATTTATCTAATTATTTGATCATAGCTTCGATATATCTAAAAATTACATAAAACTCTTAGTTATTTTGGAATGCAATTCCTTCAAGATTCATTCATGATTAAAATATAATCAATATTAAATATTTGCACTATATAATAGGCAAAATTACAGCAACTTATATCCATTTGACACTAAAAGGCCGCTTCGTTCATTACATATTTTGCAATAGGTGAACATTATCATTCGATATAAAAATCAGAAAATAATTTCATTGTTGCTCGTTATGACATACATTGTATACTTGTTCCTACACACATTGAAAACACTATTTTAGAATTGGTTATCTTATGAGTGATTAAAAAGAAATAATTACATTGCAATGCATAAAAATGCTTCTCGAGTCTTCATTTTCGAATGGAATGTTCTAAAAAAATTTTAGTTTTACAGTTTCAAGAGAATGAACTTTTTTAAACACAGACTTTATTAATTCACTTTGCATACGAATATTTCGTTTTGACTAGAGGCTAGATTGCATGTGAATTGTACTGGATACCAGTAGTGCACAACACTGATTAATTTTAAAATTTTCTAACACATCTTTACGAGCAGATGTAAAAATAGAAAAAGTTTAATGAATTTAAAATTAAACTTTTCACATGTCGGTTTCAATTGTAGGCCCCAAAAATAGATTGTATCACGTGGAGATTTTCTTTATAATAGGAAAAATACTATGACGTGCTTTGACTGAATTTCATTCTTCATGCTTGTGTTCCTTACGACTATCTTTAATAACTTCGTTGTTATCGACACTTTTTTTAACGGCGCTTACGTCTATTATAGAAAATTCACTGTTGACTCTCGTCAAGGGAAATTTGGTGAATAAATACTGTGCACTAATGCAAAACAGTTTATAAAGTATAGGGATGAGTAAGAATTGATGAGTAGTGGCCCAAAGCCTATAATTTTGTCCATCAAATGGATCTAAGATTGCAGGACACAGCATGTGGCTTAAATTCACTTGAACAAGCTGCAAATATAAAAAAAAAGTCGTATAATTTAAAAGATTTAGTGAAAATAACTTAAAAATATTTTGGTATTTACCATTCCAGCTACTTGAAGAATCCAAAAATGATAGCCTAAACTCACTGCATAACCGAATACTGACCAACTCATATCTCTCAAAGGTTCAACCGTGTAAGCACCTGAAAATCCAATGAATTATAAAAATGTCTATACCTATAAATTTAATATAAGGTGAATTATATTAAAGTAAAAATTATATCCACCTCCGAGTCTTGCCAAGTAGTAAGGAATCATGGCCATTAGGCCATGTTGAATATAATATACAGCTTTATCGGCAAACATCTGGAATAAAAAAATTGCGAAATAACGGAGAGAAAAATATTTTAATTATTAATCGAATTTAAAATTAATTACTGGTCGGCAATCAGTTTCTGGAAATGCATAAGCTAGTACTGGTCCATTAAACCCCGATACGATCAATCTGAATACCGCAGTAATGGTCGGACTGTCTGGTTCAGCCGCAAGTAAATATATCTGAATGAGCAGAGTGAACTCATCAATAATGAAGCAGCGATAGTAAGAAGAATGAAGTCATAAAAATGATCATAAATACCTCGAGTATAGTAATGATATGGCAAGGGTTCAATATGTAGACAAATGTTTTTCCCATCAACTTGAAACCTATCTCGATACCAAAGACTAAACACATTAGGGCTAACAAAAACGTCTTTCCTTTTCTCGGCGTGTACGTGTATGGCACTTTTTTCGGTAGTTTGATTCTCTTCCAACTCCATCTCAATAAAGCGATGATGTATAGTGAAATAAAAAATGTTTCCACGATTCTTCGCTTCATGGTCAGATAATTGGCACATTCTGGTCCTTTATTTCTCGGTATCGATGCGTTGATACCTAAATGAGCCCACTCCAACATCTTGAAATGTTTATTCGTTTATCGCTTCAACGCGTCGATTCAGCAGACAGCTGAAAACAGTGGAAAGAGAAAAAGTTTTGATTGTTCGTCCATTGTTATATTTTTATTGCACCTCAATATACTGCCCGAACGTAATGAGGAGCGTAAGGTTTCCATTCGAATGTAATGCACTACTCAACGTGCACGGCTCGAGGATGAAATGTTTTTTCTCGTTTAAATGAAATTACGCGAGTGAACAACCTTACCAGCAAATTACCGCCAACATCGTAACTCAAGCTTTATTTTACGCTCCGTAAGGTTTATCGATTACGTTTATCGCATTTGTCAAGTTACAGTCTTACGTTGAAGTCTCGCGCGGCAGAGAGCTTGCGAGAGTATAGGATTAGGTTATGACGTTGGATGCCAGACCAGAGCTTTTTTAAATGGCTGTCACGTTTCAGCGCTGAACACGAGGTGTATCGCACGAGCTTATCACGCGCGCACGCGAACGATGCGTGTAATTTTTGAAAATTCAGCCGCCACATACGTTCGTTCCCTCTCTCTCTCTCTCTTTCTCGCTCTCACCTGCGTCTCTTGAGCTTTGTTGTCTGCTGCTACTGCTACTGTCTGCTGCTATGCATTATGAAAGCTCCGCAACGGAAAAGCTCCGAGTGGCGTCTACCACCACCCAGTTGTTTCGTGTGCGTGCATGCTCGCTTTCTTCGCCACCCCCGCACGCGCTTACCCCACTGCTCTGACGGGGGCTGCTGCTGCTCTAGTGCGTCCTTACGTTTATTGATTATAGATACCTACTTTTACGATGCTCGTGGCTGGCACGACGTGTGTCAGTGCATATAAACATTAGAAGTAAGCGAGCTTTGCTGCGCGAAATTGTATAGAGCTTGAGCTCTGCGGTCAAACGCAGCGGAAAATGCTTAGGGAAGACTTTTGGCGGCGGTGACAACGGCGTCGATAATAAAGAGAGGCGGCACGCTTGGTTTAATTTAACATTTTTTTTATTGAAAATCTTTAAGGACAAAACATTAATTTTATAACATTTGGTTATTTACTTTACAATTCCACGTTTCTCTCTCGTTTGCTTACTTCCTAGATACTTTCCTAATAGTTCGAATTCGAGAATTAATTTGACAAGTTTTACAACTTGCGAGTTTTGTTTTCATAATGGTATGTTTTTTTTTTTTTGTTATAAATAATCGAATAATTCACAAAGAACGCAAGACTATTGTTGTCTGGCTATGGACAGCTTTCAGTGAAATTATAAAATAATTTTTCAATTATATTTGTAGCACCAAAGCGCCAAAGTAAAACACCAGACAAAGTAACCAAATTACATTTTCGGTACGAATAAAAAAATTTTCCGCATTATTAAAAAAAAAACATATTTCATTTTTCGACTCCTTTTTTGACAGTCTTTACAAGCTTTCAATGAAGTAGTACAAAGAAATATCACAATTCAATTTTTAAGGCTCTTAAACACAGAAATAGCCCATGTGTAATCACGAATATCATTTATTTCGACAAATTGACATACGATTCCGATTACTGCCACTTAATCTAACAAGCATAGAAGTAATTTCATTACGTTATCTTATTCAATTCAATCAAAAGAAAAAATCATAAAATTGGCAACAGTATTTTGAAAGGAATGTTAATGATTAGAATATTATAAACATCAATTATTTTGTGAAGTTTTGTAGCTTGAATTTTGAGCCAGACTATAGTTTCTTTCGAAGCTTGACTTTACATAATTGCACTCCAATTTAATTTAAATTAAGTTACAGTTAAAGGTACTGTAAGTGCAGAAAAATCATCATTTAAATAATTCATTGTTTTTGTTAATAACAAATCAAAAGAAATGACGAGCAACATCTTATGGAATACTCAAGCCAAGGTTTTCTATATAATAATGTTTTCTTGAGCTTTTTACTCACGATCGCCTCTGAAGAGGATCAGTACAAAGGACAATAATATACAATATAAAAAGTTGATATGAAATCGTACGAGCAAAAGAAAGACAAGATTACATCTCATGCACCTTCAAATTACTTTGGTGACAGTGTTTTGATTGTAGGAAATTCGTAATTAAATCAAGATGTCAACAAATATTTCGAAAGTTTTATGACAAGTAATGAATGCGTTAATAATCAAAGAAAAAATTAATTAATTATATAGAACGATTTTTAACTAAGTACGACCAAAAGATTTTGTTACTCTATTAAGAAAAATTACTTACAATTATATGGCTTTCGTAATTTTATAAATGATTAAATATGAATTAGAAAAAGTAAATATTTCTACCAAGCAATGTTCCAGAAAAATGAAGAATTCTTACGGAAAGTAATCGCTTTCTGCGCACAGAATTCACATGAAGAAATATGAGTTTGGTAGTAAAAAAAAATTGGGCAACATCCCAATTACATGCTGTGGTATCCACGGGCGGTACGTTTGCGGGTAATCAAGTAGGCTCCCAGAACTATTACAACCAAACCAGCAAGAACACAGCCTACTGCTATTGGCACCACGTCTGGTGTGTCAAACTGACAGTCATTGGCTGCAAGAGTACAAATTTAGTTAATATTTAATGTCTGAAATGGCATTAATATTATTCATGGTTTAAAACTTACCATAACCAAAACTAGTTTGATCGTCAGATTTAAAAGCTTGGAATTGCATGTCATATACACTAAGTTGTGCCATTACTGTACTTTCATCAGTTTTGGTCAAATTGAAAGTTTGCAATCTAATGCATCTATAGGAATTACCCAAAGTAGTATTGTAGGCTTCTTTGTTAAAAGCAAAGGTTACACTTTCATCTACATAAAATCAGTAAATGCAATAAATTTGAATGATAAAAATTAAAAATACAATCTCAACAACAAATATATTTACTGTATTTGCTATGAGGTAATTCTTGAGGTTGGACCATGACTTCTACACCAGTAAGAGCATATGTTTTGGCATCTTTTTTGAAATGTAAAAGAACAGAGTTATTGCCTGTTCCAGCGGATTTCCACGTCAGTTGCAAAACTTCATCATTAAGAGAAGAATTGCTTCCAAATGCTGTAGTTCTGTTATCACTGGGAATGTTGATTTGTCTTGATACATTCTGAAAAAAGTTATGAGAGCATTATTTCTTTTGATATTTCTAAATATTTGGAGTTGTTTTTATATCTATTTTTCATACCATTTTGGAATCTACATTTTCATATGTGATGTTAATTTGCATTGCCATTCTAGCAATTATGAGATTATGATCTGAGATGTTGGCCACATATTTTTGAGGATCTGGCTTTGGTACAGGAGGACTTGGAGGAGCCGTGGTTGTAGGGGGAGGAGGAGTTGTAGGTGGTGTTGGTGTAGTACTAGTTGTGGTTGTAGTTGTTGTTGTTGTTGTAGTCGTGGTTGAAGTTGTAGTACTAGGAGTTGGTTTTGTAGGAACAGTTGTGGGTGGAACAGTTGAAGTTTTTGATTCAGGAGTTGTTGTATCAGGCAATTTTGTAGTAGCTCCTGAAAATAAAGTCGTTATTATTATTAGTAAAATTGAAAAAAATGAATAAATATGATTGAAGCATAATAATTTATCAACATTATGAATGAGCAAGCAAGATAAACTATGCTTCGTTATGCTGATAAGTTATGAAAGTTTCCTATGACTCATACAGTAAAGAACTTGGCTTTGTCAGGTTCATCACTTTTTTTAAAATAAACATCTGAGTTGGAAAAATATAAAAATGTTTAATTTTTCTTTACAGTTCATAGATTTTTGTTCTTGTTCTTTATACACTGCAGCAATGTCAAATGCTTATAATTCTTGAAATTTTTTTTCCAACAGACTTTGTATTGAAAAGAAAGAATTAGCAATGGAACTTGCCCACTGAGATGATAGCATATACTTATCTAAAATATGAGCATTGCGAGTAACTTAATACAGACTGATATACATGCAGAAATACTGCATTACTACATTATTCTCAATGTTTACTTATTATCATGATTAGTCAAAACATAACTCACACTACTACTTTTTCGAAAAATTTCTTTAATTCTGAAATTGGCAAGGATAATTCAACCTTTCAAAAGTCCTAACATTTCAATATAAAACTATGCAGTGAAATAATTCAATGATATTGTGAAATATTTCCATCTTCATACTATGTTATCTATTTATCAGTTGAGCTAAAATCGCCACTGAAGTGAAAAAAGGCATTGAATAAATAAATTGATCGACCGCATCTTCATAATCAAAGCGATAATACGAGGAACCTTTTGAAATGAACAAAAGAAAGAGAGAAACCATCAACAGGCCAAGCCGTGAATGAAATCTTATCGTGAACTTGTAATTTCAGACATTATTTATAAATCTTTTGAGCGACAATTCGCAGAATCGCAACGATTAAAATATGAACGAGCATCTCTAGTCACGCATAAAAGAAATGACAAACTCGCTAGCTCTTGTCTTCTCGCTTCTTTACGGAGCATGATATTCGGAGTCGAAAAAAAAAACAAACGAAGTCCGATTGCTGTGTACGTGCGAGAAGAAATCCAATTCTTTCAATGCATATAGCGCGTATGCAATAATGATAATGCTTGACGTAAACGGGTCCAAAAGTCAGTGGCATTGCAGTTATATACATGCAATACGAAGTATGATGCCTGCGAAATTATAAGTACTCGTAGCCTTCGTAATCTTCAACGTTTTGCAATAATTGGTAAAACGCGCAATGTGCGCTCGGACAGACGTTTAATGTTGTATATAGATATAGATATGCTTCGCAGTTCGACTGTCCATCTCTGTCTTTCGCATGTTTTAACATGGTATCATGTACTGCAAAGTCACGAACATTCTAAAATCCGCTGCCCGTATAGAACGTATAGTCATAATAACGTAGCTATATGTGTGTGTGAGCGTTCGTGTAAATGAGAGATGTCAACCATGTTTTTCGCTCTTGTTGCCCCTTTTGTGCGCTCGAGAACGCGTATAATATTGCTATATAGTTCGCGTATATATGCATAAAGGCAGGAAAAAAAAACGAGCGAGCGCGTAGAAAGAGGAAAAAACCGAGACAGGAGGTGTATCGATAATGCTTCTCTTTGTTTACGTGCTGCAGTGTAGGTACAAACGGTATACGTGCTTGCGTGTTGATATTACATTACCTGACACCGCGACGAGTAGACAGCAGCCGAGGGCCAAATAACACGCCAAATGTTTCTTCATGTTTGTTTCTGTTATTTTTTTTTTACTTTTTTGCGGGCTGAAATCGTAGGTGGACTGTCGTCGCTCTGCTACCCTGTTTTATACCCGTGAGCACGATTACGTCTAACGCGAGACAACTGCTGCGAACAACTTCTCGCTTTCGGAGTGACGACGACGATGATGATGTTCTTTGGTTGCTGCTGCTGCTGCTTTGCTTGTAGCTATTGCACTGACGGCGGCGGCCCGGCGGCAGATCTGCGCTGCACAGACACGATTCGACGGCGATTATTTTATTTTGTATTATTATTGTTATTATATATGACGTATGTCTCGGTGACTCTATGTAATGCGCGATGAATCGAGAAATATTATAGTTTTGGATTATTGGCAGAATTACGTATGCTTTGTATTATGTATACAGTTTCGCGGAGGCCCCCTTAACGTGTGCGCGACTTCTCGCACTTCTTAACGCGTCAATGCAATGTCAGCCGTAAACTTCGGAGTTCGCTTCGCTGCTGCGGCTGTATTCGATTTATAATGCAATGCGGGCCGCGGGCGTAGGAAGGATAGACTGCAGGTGACCTTACAATGAAAGTGGCGTGAGGCGGTTCGTTTTAGCGCTCTCGCCGACGGTTTAAAAAATAATTCGCTTGCGCTCTTTGCGTGCAAAAATAGGTTTTATTCCGTAATAGGAATCAAATAATTTGTTTTCAACACTTAATTAATCGAACATACTATGAGACGGTAACTAATTAACTTATAATTTTTCACTTAAATGTTACGAAATAACCAACAACGAAGTATACAATTAGGAAAATGCGTGAGCGCTACGATTGGTTTTCTGCGCTGTTGATGATACTATCCAAGTCGATTTCGTCGAAGGCCTCGTCGTCGATGTCCAGAAGATCTTTGAAACTATCCGAGCTGACCTGCAACTCTGCCAAGCCGGATGTACTGACGCTCGAGCTTGACATCTGAGACTTTTTATCCCCCGACGACGAAGATTGTGATTCCACAAAGACATCGAGGGTAGTTTGATTCTGCTCACTCGTGAGTTGATGTTCCAACGACGCGGCGTCCATATCGAAATTTTGATCCAGACCGACCTCGTTCAATACTCTAATTTTCGTTTGCAACTTGTTCCACATGTAATCGTCCGCCGTCTCTTTGGCCAAAAGGTAACGAATTATCACGTTGTCTGTTTGACCGATTCTGTGCACTCTATCTTCTGCTTGTGTTAAGATCTGAAAAATCCATGAATAATTTAACATGAGTTTTTTTAACATCGTCGAAGCAAAGACTGTTTGAGGATTCTTACACCAGGATTCCACGAGAGTTCGGCAAATATTACTAGACGTGCTGCTGTCAAGTTCAAACCAGCATTTGCAGCTGTAATTGACAATACTGCTACCATAATTTTATCATTATCCTGAAAATTATCTACATACTGTTTTCGGGCTTCAGGATTTGTTCTTCCATCTATCCTTATGTGTCTGAAATATTTTTTTATAATTTATTTGGAAGAATTTATAAAATAAAATTTCATATAAAATAAAACTAACAAAATTTTCTTGCTTTGCAGCAAACTGCTAATAGCATCCAGCATTGATTGATGGTGGGCAAAAACAAGAAATTTGTCATCGCTTGCTCGATTTTCAATTAACTCCAAAATGTAGTTACTGTAATTTAAAGAGTTGTTCAATTAAATATTGAAAACAAAATTATAAAAATTATAGCGGCAAGAAGTCGGTTTACCAAACAGCCTTTTCTTTAGCTTTAGCAGTATCACTGTAATACTGTAAAAGTATTGTGTGTTTTGTTGAACCATTTAAATTTTCTTTTTGCATTTGTTTTGCAGATTCTTTCATTTCTTTGGTTGCAGTTTTAATTAAATGAGGATCAAGGATAATTTTTTGCCTATTTCAAAATATTAACAAATTAAAATAATTCATTATTATTTTTTTAATTTGACTAATTGCTAAAAGAACTATTATTCAATACCTTATTTTTGTGGGTAATTGTGTTAGAACATCTTTTTTCAGACGTCTTATACAACAACTATTTTGTAACCATATTTCTAACTCTTTCAAATGAGAAGATCCAGTGAAACTCCATCCAAATTTAGTTTGTACACCAGCACAATATCTCACTCCATAGTCTATAGGGCTAGATAATTTTTCATTAAAATTTAATAATTAATAAGTAAATATAATTGTTGCTCATACCTCATAAAATTAGGAATTAACATTTTTATTTGAGGGTACAATTCAATAGGTCGTGATAAAGCTGGTGTACCAGTTAATAGTATGATACGCTTTGCATTGGTGGCTAATCGTTGCACAGCTTTGGTCCTTTGAGTATTTGCGCTTTTAAGATAATGGGACTCATCCTTCAAACAAAGTTTCAATTACTATAGATATTTTCACAAACATTTAATAAAATTAACAGCAAACAATCCTTACACATATTATCACTCCAAATCTTCTAGCTACAAGTTCATCAGTTCTCCTTCCAACTAAATCATATGATACAATAAGAACCTTGCACTTTTCAATTGGTTCTCTGTTAGTTGTAACATGGAGAATAGAATGTATTGGCACAGAAGTTAAATTTTCAATTATAGCCTCCGACCATTGATACCTAATAGGGTTTAGTCAAAATGAAAATTAAACAAAAATTAATTGATAAATAGAAGAAAAAATTAATCTTATATAAATTTGAAAAATTGTACCTAACAGAAGAAGGGGAAATAATTAGCATAGGCCAATCATCAGAAAAATATTGAGCAATTCCTAGAGCTTGTCTGGTTTTTCCAAGACCCATATCATCTGCTAACAAAATTTTTCCATCTTGTTGAATTCCAAACCTGTAGAAGAATTTTGTTTATTAAATTCTTATCTATGCAAAATGATTGAATAAAATTTTAAATGCAAAAATGTTATGGCATACTCTATTCCTTCTCTTTGAAAGGGATACAAAGAATTCAAGAGTGACTCGTCCAATCGAGACAAATTTGGTTTTGGTTTTTGTAAATTCATTTTGTTTTCTAAAGATCTGAAAAACTGAGAAAAAAATGTTAGAATTGATTAAATTTTAACAAAATAAAATAAATTAATGAACATGGTTTCTAGTTCTATACCCACTTTCAACACATATGCTGGAATTCCTTTGAATGAGACTTCTGATTTTAATTGCATTGATTTTTGTAAAACCATATCATAATCTATTAAATGGAAGTTCCAAGACTTAGTTTGTGGATCTAAAAAATAAATTATATAGACTTACTTCTTATATTATAATATAAAAATTACTATTTATAATACAAAATATAAGTTACCATAATTTCTAGTTGGTATTGATTTGAATACTTCTATTAAAGGCAGATGATACTTTGACATATCTACAGTAAATCTATTGATGCTTATCATACTGCACTCAGCTTCACAAAGTGGTGGTTTATTTTGTTGTGTACCATAAAATTTATTACTGCTAATAGGATTATATCGATTGGCTGATGCTTGTTGTTTGTAGGCACTTTGAGATTTAAATTGATTACTTCCACCAAGTGATTTTCTATTTGAATTTGGACTAAAAAAGTTTGTAATTGAACTACTACTTGAGTTTTTTGGACTCGTGTAACTGTTTCCATTATTTTTGGGTGCATTCAAAGGACTGACAACAGGAGGTTTACATGCTGCCTTTTGTTGTTGACGTTGCAAGGCTTGCTGCCTTTTTCTCTCAATTTCCTCTTGTGAATACATTGTCTAGATGAAAGTATTCAAATTTTTTTCAAACATTTAAGTAATTTAATTCTTAAAAATTCTTTGGAATTATTTAAATTCATTCAAATTTAGGAAAACTCACCTTGCTTCGTATAAACTACAATTCATATACCACTTCTATAAATTGTTGAATAAACTGCACTATAAGGGTTTAACGTTAGATTAACATTTTTCACACAACAATAATTCAGTTACAATTAATTTTTTCTTCTACATAAAAAAACTCAAAAAAACAAGCAATTTTAACCTAACATAACAAAACTAATGCGTCGCATAGGCGCGCGAAATGACAGCTGAGTTCGCCATTGACATTGATCTTTCTATCGCACATGGCGCACATAAATTAAACGTGGAAATGAATTTGATCGATGTTATCATCTAAAACGAGCGATATCAATTTTTTACAATTATAATCATTATCATACGATTGAATCGTCAAGTAAGTTCGAAGATCGCATCGGGTTTTTTTCCAACTTGAAGTAACAACCAATCGAGTTGTAAATTTTGAATTTTGAAAATTCAATTATTTTATAGACATTTAATGAATTGTATTGTTCAAAATTTTATTTTTAGCAAGAAAATATAAATTAAGCTCTATTGAAACCAATTACATTTAATGCATTTTTATTTACAGTTGCAGATTCAAATTTCCATCGAATTTGCAAATACGAAATTCGCACTTCGCAGTTCCACAGTTGAACTTTTGCGCACTGCGCGCATCGATCGTTGTAATAAATACTTGTTTTCTTTCAGTCGTCTGCAAACTGCAACAAACCCTTGTTAACCTCACGTAATAAAATTGTCGTTACAATCATTCGAACTATTGTAAATGCAAAATAAAATTGTTGCCAGCGCTTGTTGAACCAATAGTGATTTCCGAAAGAATCAATTGTCAACGGTTCGTTGTAAAATTTTCATCTGAAAATGTGATAAATGAGTTCGTGATACATTTTTTGAATTAACTTTAACTGCAGGATTTGGCAACATTGTCGTTCTAGTTCACGTTAAGCTAATGCATCGTAATTTAAACGATTAATGAGTATACAACGCTGATTTCGTGTGCGAAATAGTACAGAAACGATTAAAAAACAAATTTTTCATCAGTGTGGCTTCAGTCAGATTTACGCTTTTAAGTAATTTTGATTAAAGTTTCCATCTTCAATACTCGAAAATCAAGTTGTACTTATTTTTATTGTAAATCGTTACTTAATATTTTCTAAAATGAGTTCAAGTTCTGGACAGGAATTCAAATTATCTCGTACGTAATAACATTGTGCTTAATGTAATTTTGGAGAATTTTATTAATAAAATATTGATTCTATCGCATTCATTTTTAGCTGATCATGTATTCATGGAACCAAAGAAAGGAATTAAAAATAATGGTGATATGGATGCCTGGCAAAAATCAGAAGCATATTTTGTAAGTTGGCTTGATTTCTAAAAATATGAATAATTTTTTATTCACATGAATTTGGATAATTTTTTCTAGGAGTATTTTGGTTTCATAATGGCCATTAATGAAGCAGTCAAAGGAAAGTCTCTTGATTCAAACTATCCTTGTTCAAAAACAGTTGACAAAATGATAAATATGCTTGACAATTTTGATAAATGGATTGATGAGATTCCACCAACTGAACAGCCTCAGAGATTTGGTAACAAATCTTTTCGAACATGGTCTGAAAGACTCAATGAGGTAAGTAATTTTTAATTAAAATTGTGGAATATTAAATACTTATGAATATCTACAATTTTAGTCTGCTGCAGATGAGTTGAAGATAATTTTACCAGAAAATTTGTACAAAGCGATTCCAGAGATTGTTCATTATTTGTTGGAAGGATTTGGTAATCCTACACGGATTGATTATGGAACGGGTCATGAAATGGCCTTTATCATGTTTTTATGTGCTATGTTCAAAATTGGAGCATTTGAAGTTAGTGATAAAGCTGCTGCTGGCATTAAAGTTTTTAGTAGATATTTGGAAGTAGTACGTAAACTTCAATTAACTTACCGAATGGAACCAGCTGGAAGTCATGGAGTTTGGAGCTTAGATGATTATCAATTTGTTCCATTTATTTGGGGCAGCTCACAATTAATTGGTTTTTAGAATTTTTCTTATTATTAAGAAAGTCATGTTACATCTTTTATAATGGAATTTGTGTTATCGTAGGTCATCATCGCATAGAACCTCAAAATTTTGTTGATCCAGGTGTTGCAGAAGCACATGGTAAACAGTATATTTTTCTAAGCTGTATTGCATTTATTTCTAAGGTAATCATCTAGTTTGGTTTTTCATGAACACTACTTATGATATTTATTTTAAACAATGTGAATGTTTTTATATTTTAGGTAAAAACTGGTCCATTTGCAGAGCATTCTAATCAGTTATGGAATGTAAGTGCTGTAGGATCATGGTCAAAAGTAAATAGTGGATTAATTAGAATGTACAAAGCAGAAGTAAGTTTCAAAAATCAAAATATTGCAAACAAATTCTTATGTAATTTCAACTTTTCAGGTATTGGCCAAATTTCCTGTGATGCAACACGTTTTGTTTGGTTCTCTGTTCTCAATGAATCCAGTGCCAGATAGCATGGCTTTTAAAGCCCCTCATCCTCCAAATGTTGTTAATTCAATACCCGGTCATTGAAACATTTAATAAATCGTTTCATCTATCGTGAAAAAAGGTAGAGAAGTAATTTTTTTATTTTACAAATAAAAATAATAATATATTTTTTATCAATAAAATACTCAATGCAATTGATTTTTTTCATCCACAAGTATTGTTTATTAATTGTTTATATGTAATCTTGTACTTCGTTCGTTTGTAAATACTGTACAAATTCAGTCAATCAAACCCAATAAAAAACGTATATAGTAGTGTTGAGGTAGTAGCCGAATGGAAAATATTTTTCCCGTAATTTAGAGCGCATCGCATAAAAATTTGTGGCGAAAAAAAGGAACAGTGGTTTTATACGCATATTCTCTGCAGCACGACGCGGTTATTAATTTTATTATTGGCATAGGGCACGGCAAGACAGTAGCCTGCGCAATTGCCGTTATTCACCGCGCACGGATGGTATCGATCGATGTATTGAGATTGTTCGCTGTAAAGATACATTCCCTGGATCACTCTATTCTTGGCGTTGTTCAAGGTAAGCAGACGGGTCGGCGATGGCTCGGTAGCGTTAACGGCTGGGTTGGCTCTGGCCTGTTTCGGCATTCTCCAAATGCCTACGTTATTTGCCAAGTACAGCCAATCATCGTAAACCTTGATGGACGTGATCGGTCGGTCGATGTCGAGCGACAGCATCAGCTCGTTGATCTTTATCCTTTTCGGTTCAAGGTCGTTCAAGTCGATGTAATAAACCCAAGCGTCGTGTGGCCTATTTGTTCGTTTGCTTTCGTTTTGCTCCTGAACGGCGTTCTCGTGAATCCAATACAAGCGCCTATCCTTTTCATCGATGCACAGACTCGCGAACGCATGGCTTGCTTCCTTCAAATCAATAATATCGCTGGAGTTTTGATTCATTCGATGCAGTCTGTAAGTTAGTCCTATTCTGACGATAGTCGCGAAGTATATGTGGCCCCTGTTTGGATCCAGCGCGATCGACTCGATTTGCTCGTTGTAAATGGACCGAAAGACAGATCTTTCTTGTATATTTCCATTCAGCTCTCTATTGTAGAACATGATATTTGTTGGGTTAACTGGATCCTTTGTTCCAATCTGGGTCCATGCTGGATTTTGGGTAGGATAAAAAATGTTGCCGGTAACCCAGTCCACGGCCAGACTTTGAGGTCCCGATTTGGATGCGTTTCGCAACAAAATCTCCTTGGTATTGCCGGTCATGTCGACGGAGTAGATCGATCCCTCGTTTCTGTAATAGAGGCGTCGCTGCCTCGAGTCGTAGTCGAAGGCTATGGTCTGCTGCGGGACCAGCGAAACGTTGCTCAGCTTGAACGGCGTCATGGCCGACAAAAAGGACTTTGCCTCGGAATCCAGGCTGACTCCTTTGACGATGTCGCCCTCCACGTAGAGTAGGTAGTCCTGGACGGGTCGGCAGTCAGTCGAGTCGTTGGGATCCGGCTGCCAATTGAGAGTACAGGCGCAGGTGGTCGAAGCGACGCCCGACACAACGCACAGCTGTCCGCAGTTGCTCGTGGCGCAGGGTTGCGCGAGCTCCTGGCGAAGGTCGTACACCTTTAAGGCCACGATGTTGTCGACGAAGTACTGCTTCTTTGAGTTCTGGCAGCTGGCGTCCGCATCGGAATATTCGCAACTCCAGAGGTAGCCGCTGTTCGATATCGAGTTCGAAATTACCCAGAACAACTTGTCTTCGAGAGCAGCCAAGCTTTTGACCCTGCTCGTGAAATTGAACACGGTCGTTATGTTATTTCCATCGTAATCCGAGCGCTGCAAGCTCAAATTTTCCACCCAGAACACACGTTTATTCTTGGTTTCGATGGCAAAGGCCGATATAATCGTATCGCTGATGATCGCTCGAAGCAACGTGCCGTCCATGTTCGATCTTAAAATCTGCCGGTCATAAAATTCGCGATAATTTGGTTGTTTATGTGTACGCAAAAAATGTTTCAGGGTAATAATTGCTCTCTTACCGAAGCCCACTGAAGTACGAACATCTGACCGGTCGACGGATCCAAGGCGATGTCCACGGGATCGTCGAGACTCGGCAAAACGATGTTCTGATATCCGGCCATCATGTCGATGACGTCGACCTTCGAGCCCACGTCGTCGACCACGTAGACGTTTCGGCCCCACGCGTCCACGGCGATGCTACGGGCGTGCCAATCGATCGTAGGCCATCTGAGATCTTTGAAGGCCGTGTTGGACGATCTTATCGTGTTGACCGATTCCGATCCTCGGGCGCCGCCCAGGTAAAAATTTTTGTTCCTGTACAGGTCGAAATTGTCGAAGGGCACGTCGGAGTTTCTGACGATGAACTTTCCCTCGGGGCTATCGACATCCTGGGCCCAGAGGCTATTGTGATCGATTTGCAAGATCAATGTTCTGTTGAAATTGATGAGCAGTTCCGGGTCAATTACGACCGGTGGCGGCACTTCCTCGATCGGCTGAGCAGTCGTTGTTTCTGGAATTTTTGCGACTGTTGTCTCCTCGGTGGGCTCTTTGGTAGACGTTGTCTCCGGCGGTTTTGCAGTAGTTGTTGTCTCTGTCGGTTGTGCCGTTGGTTGTGCTGTCGTTGTCGTAGTCGTTGTCGTAGTTATTGGAGTCGTCGGGATAGCCGGAATCGTTGGAATCGTTGGGCTTGTCGGAATTGTCGGGGTCGTCGGAGTCGTCGTAGTCGTCGTAGTCGTCGAAGTCGAAGTCGTTGAAGTCGTCGAAATCTCCTCCGTCGTTGAGGTCGACGGAGGAGGCAACGTCGATGTCGTTGTTACGAGGATCGGGATTGTCTTATTCTCCACCGGACATGTGACGTTGACACCTAAATTATTTAAAAAGAAAAGTAAATTATTTCGTGCTTTCGATAGGTTATCATGTTAAAAAAAAAGTCACGCAATGAAGTTCGAATTATTGAGCCAACTAAAAGAGTTACTTACTTTTCCAAGTGAGTGCAACGCTGGTGATGATTATTATAGACAGCGCAACGATCGACGCCGCGATAACCACGACCACGGTAATCTTCATTCCTTTCTTTTGCCACGGAGAGGCCGGCGATGACCGCTCCTCGTCCCGCTTTACCACATCGTACACCTCATTTTGATTCATATTTGCATGTGATCGGCGGTGTACGTCTACTGCAGAGAATTTATCGGGCGCGAAAAAAAATATATTTATTATCGATAAGATAGTGCGTAGTCAAAATATTGCACGTATATAGTGCGTATAATGAGCTCGATCCGTGACACTTCTATATCGACGACCTCTTTCTTCTGCTTCTTTCTTTTTTGCGTTGATCAGCTCTCCGATTGGGACGATTCAAAATTAATTATTACGTATAAAACTGCGCAAGCCCACGTACTGAATTGCCATCCGAGATTCAGAAGCAGAGCGAGTAATTCGGCCGCGACGATAACGCCCGAACAAAAAGATTATACACCTTTCAGTGTCAGTATTAATAATTTCATGCACGTTTTTATACACATATTTTTTTGTACGATACAAGTATAATGCGAAGTTACGATTGGGATGCGTCATTGTATTCTTCGATTCTCACGCCTTCAAGCGATGACCGCGTGTAGCTAGATATATAAACGTAGTAGCCTCCAAGTGCGTAGATTTTATTATGAAGCAAAAATGTCGCACGCAGCCGCAACGAAGCTCCTATGGCTACATTTATACTTATGATATAGCCGCACACTCGTCGGCGACGCTTCTCTGCAGCCACACATCTGGACACGCAGTGCAAAGTAAAAGTGTTTACGGCTGAGCCGTTATAGTAAGGGCCGAGATGACGCACGGATTGTCAGGGCGACTCGATCGACTCTCATCCCCCCGTGGATGACGTAAGTATAGTCCCTTGAGCACCGTACTCGCTGTCTCCGCGAGCCGACGACGAGCCATCATCTCCCCGGGGGATCGTTGCCTCCGCCGTGAGTTGACTTGTCGACTTGCCAGGATTATACAGCATCGTGAACGCACCCGCGAACAGCCAATTCTCGCGTACGTGTGGGAGAGGGTGCAGTGCTTTATATTTTGGCGCTTTTCAGCGACACGTGGGTAGATTGATTTGTCGCGCCGCGTCCAACCCCCCTGATACAGCGGTCCAGTGATACGTTTTACTTGATCCGGACGATCTTTGCCATGGTATATACAAATCTCGCTCAAGTACTCGGATTTCTGCCTTGTTGCGAAAATACCATATACGAAGAGTCGCTTATGCGTTGTAGGGCGAGAAAACTGCGTGGAGCCCACGATTAGGGTGGATGGCCGGCCAGTGCGCTGATATCGCTCGAACGAGCGTGAGATGTGCGAGCTGTTTTCAGCTTAACCTCGGGTTGTAAATCCTTATCGCGTTATCTTCTCAGTCGATCTTCTTCACGAGGTACAAGTCTCGTCGGGTACCCAATCGTAGAGCGCGATAAGGCAGACCGCGTCGTATTAGGGATGCCGGGTCAATACAATCCGCTCGCCTTTCGGTCAAAATTTGCTGCCTGCCATATAATTGATTTCGATAAAGCAAATGCTGCGTTTACGCCTGACGCTGAAAATACAATTGCCGATCATCTACTTGCGGTTATCGAGCTTTTGCGACGCTATTCGGTTTAAGCACGTACGTGGCGGACTTTGGACGACAAAATCATCGTCTTGGATTCGGACTATAGTCAAAGTTGCGGTCGCAGCTCGTCTTTGAATTTGCTTTTTACGATCGCAATCAAACGAGTAGTTGCGAAGGTAAGCCTGGGACGCAAATGTAGATCTCAAAGACGAGAGAAAACACAGGTGGTATTACGACTCTCGTAGCGTCATAGGCGCCATCGTATTTGTATGAACAGATTTTCATCAAGTTATCATCTTGTTTGCGCAAGCTCCATCCTCGAGTGAGATACAGCTTCGTGCCAGGAAAAATTCCAAAGCCTCAGTTTGCTTCTATGCCAAATAAATTATAAAATATAACTTAAAACTAAAATAAAATACGAATGGCAATTAAACATTACAGACTATTGATCGATTCAACCAATTACTTGACTGTCTCTATAAGATAAATGCTCA